AGGGAGGCTCTGATGACGGTGTCGGCATCCCCCTCCGCTGCATCGTGGGTGCAGCAGGCTGCGGGCTCTGCCCTCGGTGCCGGGCCCAGCTCATGCCAGCGCGTGCTGCTTGTGCATGCTCTGCTCCTCACAAGTCTCTGCCACCATGTCGGCCGTAAGAGCACAAGACCTGCCGTGTCCTGGGTCACCTTGCCCTGTCTCCTGTGTCACACGGAGGCTGGAGGGGGAGTGACCAGGGTCTGAGCAGGGTTTTCCCCTGTTCCTCCTGCACTGAGGGCCTGGAAAGGCCTGATGCAGAGGCCGTGCCCCTCGCTCCCGTGCTCAGTAGCTGCCGATGCCCCTTTCCTCCAAACACATCCACTCCCACCATATCTGGTGGCATCCCACCAGCGGCAGGCAAAGGACAGGGTGTTTGGAGATGCATCTTGGATAAGCGCTGAGACCCGAGCACATGGCAGCGCCTCTGCCAGGGTTTCTCTCTTCTTGTTTGCGCCAGGTCTTCAAAGCGAGCGGCTCTCTGCAACGGCTTCGGACTGCCACGGCATTTCCTTTCTAATCCGTGTCTGGGCTGATTGCTGGAGACGGCCCAGCCGCGCGGTGCCCAAGGAGTTAATGTTCTGTGCCGTCCTCTGTTCCCACATCCCAGAGCATCACAAATCCTCCTCCTTCCCGCGATCGCCAGCCCGGCGCTCTGCCTCGAGCCCACCGCTCGCCCCGACTGGAGCCCAGCCGCACGGCGGGTGGCTCCCGTGCCCGGCAGCAGGAGGACAGGCCTCATTGGTTATGCTGGTGGTAGCTCTGCAATCATTAATCTAATGAAAGTGATGATAACTCATGGGGATGTGGTTCTGGGTGAAATCTCAGCTCCACCAGACACATGCTGTACAGCCCGCGCGCTCAGGAAGCCATTTGTCATCTTCAGGATGGAGGCGCCGGGTAATGAGCAAGGTGCCTCCTGGCACGGCGATGAGCTGCTTTCTTGTGCACGAGCGAGCCGGGGAGGGAGCGCTTCCTGGGTGGCGCCGGCCCGTGCGGGGCTGCGCGCTTGCAGCCGTCGGGCCCATCGACTCCTGCCCCCAGAGCTTGCCAGGGGACCGGTCCGTGGAGGGCACTGGTCTGCAAGCGGAGGGGAAGGTTTGTGCACCTCATGGGCACTGGCCTTGCTTGGCATCATTGCCCGAGGCAGAGATTTCGGGAGGTTTTAGCAGAGGAGACCGTCCAGAGCCTCGCGCCGCTGGTGCTCGCAGCCTGTGCCGCGGCTCCTGCCAGACGCCGGCGCCTTCCCCACCTGCCGGGGACACGTCTCCTCCTTGCAGCCGCTTCAGCTGCTGCCTCCGCGGAGGGTCCCCGGGGAGGACGGCGGGTTCTGCTGCTGGTTTTATACACTTTATGGGGGACGGAGGGAGGAGAGTTTATTGCCGCGTTTATGAGGGACACGAGATTATCTGCATACGCTGAAAAATCACAGGGCCCGTGTAAAGAAGGGAAAGTACCTTCCTTTGGCAAACCGAGCGAATTGGTATTAGCCTGGAGTCAAGGAGGATCTTAAATTATTGTTGTCTTTCTGTATCACTGTGAGGTAGTTTAAAGATAAAAGCCATCTGGGAGCAGTTCAGATAAGTGGGGGGAGCCAGGGAAGCCAAGATAAACCGGCTACGATCTGCCGAGATGAACCTGTTGGCTGTGCCGGTCTCTGCCGTGCCGCCTGGGATGCCACGGATAAACCCGTGGGTGCCACGGCTCGGGAGCGGGCTCCGTCCATCCCGCCTCAGCCGTGCAGCAAGGCCCGCGGGCCACGTGCCCTGGCGTGCGTCTGCACCGTCCCTGCGCCCCGGCGGCTGCTTTTCGGAGACGCTGCTCTGGCTTCCCACGCGCTTGCTCGGCTCGGCGCCTGTTATCGTTGCACCTGCCTCCGGCCAGGAGCTGCCAGCCCGCAGCGTGGCGAGCCGCAGCGTCGCTGGAGACAGACGCTCCGTATCAGGCCACGAGTCCTTGCAACAGGAGGCCTGGGGGCAGGCGGGCGGGCGAGCGGGGGCATCTTGCCGTGCCATTAGCACCAGGGACGGGCACGGCCGCTAGGAAAGCGGTTCTAGGCTGCTCTCTGCAGAGGCCGAGCGGAGGCTTTCGAGAGCCTGGGTGCCTCAGCACTGAACGGGTCCCCTGCAGCATCCAGCCGCCGTGGCGTTCAAGCCCGTGTCATTAGCTGTCTGGCCGCAGCCCCTTGTCTGTAAAGCTAATGGAGTGAGCAGACTCGTAGAGTACCAGCTGACCCCTGACAGATCCCATCATTTAAACGCAGGTTTATTAGTGCTAATTAATTCTGAGTGTAGCCGAACGATGCCGTGAGAGCAGCCGGGCTGCGGCTCCCCACACGGGTCCCGGCAGGAAGAACACGCGGTTCGTGGCACACGGGAACGCGGCAGGCGCAGTGCGCGCTAGCTGTTCCCCGTGCCCTGGGACTTGCCCCGCTGCATGCGGCGTGGGGCGGGGGTGCGCCCGTGTGCAGCGCTGTGTGTCTGGCAGGATCGGGGCCCAGCAGTGCCGGGCTTGCAGCCAGCCCCTGGCCCCGGGCTGTGCTGGGCGGGCAGGACACGGGCAGCACGAAGGCAGGGAGGTGCCAGTCCGGTACAGGCGACCTTGCAAGCCACGTGCCAGCGCCTCGCCTCGCCTCCCCAGTGCTGCAGTGGGGACGCCGACGAGCCCCTGGAGCAAATCCTCAGTGCCTGTGCGCTCAGGGGCTGGCCAAGGCCTGAAGCCAGCCCCTGCCATGGAGCGAAGATGGGGGAACCTGGCCTTGTCTCTGTGCTCGCCATGCCGCAGCGGCACAGATGCACGGAGGCCGGGGACCGGTAATCAGCTCTCCTGGCAAGCCGGCAACTGCACGGCATTACCGTAATCTAGTCCCCGCGGATAAAAGCCCCCGCACACTTGAGTCAGGCGAGGATAAGTGTTGACACAGCCGGGGATGCTTTTCAAACGCTAATGGGTCTCCTTCTCACAGCGCTAAATCCCGTGCTTGGAGCACCGGGGCAGGGGCTGGCAACGCCAGGGGCTGAGCGGTCGGGGTCCGGCCCTCCACTGCACAAGGGCTCCCGCACTTGGCCCGCGGGCTGCACACTCACCCAGACACGGCTGTGCTGCAAGGGGGCACGTGGCACGACCGCACACGCCAGCCGCCAGCCTGGCCCCAGCCTGTTGCCCTGTCCAGGCAGAGCCCGCGTCTTGTGTTGGGTGCCGGCGCTGCGCACAAGTGCCAGCGGGGCCCGCGTCTCTGGCCTGGCGCAGCCCTGGCTCACTCTCCGGGGCTTTCCAGCCTCTGCTGGGGCAGGGCAAGCCGGGGGCAGCAAAACCCACCTTCCTGCTTCCCCAAACCCATCTGTGCAGGGCATGGCTG